ACGCAATTACTACTAACTACTACTAACTATACTTAATTATTAATAAATAAACAAATAATAAAAAAAATGATAACAATAAATATAATAAATATTGTAGGTAAAAAAATTATTACACAACAATAATAATTATAACAACAGCAATAATAAAATCAATAGCTATAAGAATAATAAAAATAATAACAATAAGAATAATAACAATAAGAATAATAACAATAAGAATAATAACAATAAAATTTTTGTGGTCATTTGTTACTGACCATCGTCGTAATAGTCCTTACAATCATCATCATCATCGTCGTCATCATCATCATCATCATCATAACCATCATTATAATCATCATCTTCATCACCATCATCATTTGTGATCGTTATCATCATCATCATCATCATCATAATCATAATCATCATCATTATAATCATCATCCATCATCGTTATCATCATCATCTTCATCACCACCATCATCATCATCGTCATCATCATCATCATCATAAGATCATAATCATCCCATCACCAACATGGACACAGTTTTTTTTTGTATCATCACCCTGTTCAACATTGTTTATTTTGAATTACTATTATCACTTCTCCATCATCATCATCATCATCATCATCATCACTGTTGCCATCGCCGTCATCATCATCATCATCATCATCACTGTAGCCATCATCATCATAACCATCTACTTCCTCTTATTAACTTCATCATCATCATCATCATTATCATCACCACTGTTGCCATCATCATCCTAACCAACATCTTATTACTTCATCATCATCATCAATCTCCTCATCGTCATCATAACTATAACCATCGTCATCATCATCACCTACCTCCTCTTATTACTATTATCACCACCACCATCATCATCATCATCAAGGTTCGTGTAGGTATCCACCCGACTAACGCTGTCCAGTCTTTCGCACTTGCAGTTGCAGCCTGAAACCGGACATCTGCTATGAGTGCTGTGATTGGTTGGTGGGAAATTCGACTGATCGATTTGATTGGTTAAAATTCTATTGAATGATTTAATTGGTTAATTTGAAATTAGGATATTAGAAAGTTTATTTATAAAATTTGACTGGCTACACATTTAAAATGGTAAAATGGTAAATTTTTATTGGTTAATTATCAGGAATTTATTTATATTTCAAAAAATGCTGATTGGCTAGCGAAAATAGTTTATTTTGAAATACTGATATTTGATTGGTCAGAGAGTGCTGATTATTCAATGCTCATTAGAAGGTGAAGTTTATTTACAACAAAACCAAATTACTGACTAATCAAAAAGGTTGTGCATTTAAAAATCTAAACTTTGATTGGTTAATAAAAAATTGATTGACAACGTATAATTCACACACAGTTCACCATCACCGTCACCATCATCATCACCGTCAACACCATCATCATCATTACCGTCACCATCATCGTCATCATCATCATCACAACCGACCTGAACCAGTTGATAATATGGTCGGCATGCCCGCCGTGTAGACAGTTTTGGCACCAGGTGAACCATTCTGATATGCGAGCTAGTGTCTTGCCCTGCTTCAAGTTGCCTGTGATTGGTTGGTGGTCGGCCAATTGAATAATTATTTGCTTCTGATTCAATCGAAAAGTTTTGTGCTTCTGATTGGTTGGTCAATTGAATAGTTATTTGCTTCTGATTGGTTGTTAAATTGAATACTCATTTCCTATTGATCTGATTGGTTGTTTACGATAGGTTGAGAGACTGAATGGTCAAGCGATTCTATTGGCTGTTGTTCATCAGTTGCAACGTTCAAGTTAACTCAAGTTCACCCAATTAAAAGCCAATGAAACCATTTCAAACAATCATTTAGTCTTAATCAAATTCTTCCAACCCAATTCAGTCAACCAATGAAATTGCTCGATTTACTTTTAGTGCTCTTGGGACAGCTAATCCCAGAGGCAGTACCCATGTGAAGCATGCAGATTGCACAGCGTGGGAGGGGCTTTCGGCAGTGAGGGCAGGACTGAACCTGTCAATCAAATTAAATAGTAATTATATGTAATTAATAAATTATATCCAATTTAATATATTATATACATAATTAAAAAGTAATTATATGTAATTAATTAAATACATACGTGAAAATGAATAAAAACTGCATGAATGAATGTATTAGCGAATGAGTGAATGAATGAAAGAATGAATGAATGAATGGAGAAACAAAAGGAAGCGTGAATGGGAAGACTCATTCGTCTATTAAGAGATAAAAAAAAAGTCCTGAGTGACTGACGGATGAAAAGTAGATGAATGAATGGGTAGATGGACAAACAAACGAATGAGTAACACAAAATCGGAATATAATTAGCATAAAATTAGCATAAATTAACTCTAGGCTTGATGTTAGCCCTAATCCTATTGGTCTTCTGGTCGGTGATGATTGGCTTGCTGCAGAACGTGCAGCAGATGTGGACCTGTCGCAGTGACTCCATGATGGATTTCTCCTGCTTGCGCTGGAAAACATCGAACTCTGCTCTGATTGGTCGAGGTTTGAAAGGCGTGGGAGGAGTTAGTTTGAAGAAACAAACTCCTCCCACACTAAATATGACTGGCTACTTAATATGGTTCGGCTGTTATCATTGGCCATTGTATGAAAGAATTACGCTAATGAGTCTCAATCCAGCAGAATTCAAACAACCCCATTGATTGATTGATTGATTGATTGATTGACTGAATGAATGGCTGAAAGAATTGTGATGCATGCAATGAATCATGTCATCCATTCATTTCATTAGTTAATTAACCTTCATTCAATTATTCATTTAACGGTAATTAATAAATCAATCAAACAAACAAACACTTAAATATTCATTCATTCATTCATTCATTCATTCATTCATTCATTCATTCATTCATTCATTCATTCACTCATTCAAGCATACATTCATTCATTCATACATTCATTCAGTCATTCATTCATTCATTCATTCATTCATCCATCAACTCCACCTTTCATTCCATAGCTTCATGCTATTCAGAAGGCTCCTGTAGTTTTCGAACCAATGTTCAACCAGACTGAGCTTGGTTATGTCAACCTCTGGAAGGCCTTGATGATGATGACGATGATGATGACGGTGATGATGATGATGACGATGATGATGATGACGACGACGACGTAGAAATGTGATAATGATAATGCTGGCGACTGGGATATGATGATAAATAATAATAGTAATAATAATAACAACGATGAATATAAACAGCATAACCATCAAAATCCCAAACAACATCATCATCATCACTACAACATCATCATCATCAGTACAACAACATCATCATCATCATCATGGACGTCGTCATCATTATCATCATCTTAACGACCTTGAAGTATTAAGGTGACGGCTGTTTGAATGTCAGATGTTTTATCGATGAACTTGGATAGAAGCTGGACTCCGTTTTCTGTCAATCCTGAGTGAATGAATGAATGAATGGACAGATGTATAAATGAATGAACAAATAAATGAATGGATAGATGAATGGTAATATGAATGGATGAATGAATGGATGAATGAATGAATGAATGAATGAATGAATGAATGAATGAATGAATGGATGAATGAATGAATAAAAGAATGAAGAGACCAGTTAGGATGAGTCCAGTAAGGTCTCCATTGTTGATAAATATTGTTGTCTGCTTTTCTAAGAAGGCCATCAGCTGCGATGACGATGATGATGATGATGATGATAGTAATGATGGTGAAAATGATGATGATGATAGTAATGATTGTGAAAATGATGATAGTAATGATGGTGATGATGATGAAATTAATAATAATAATAATGATGATGATGATGAAAATGACGATGTTGAAAATAATGGTGATGATGATGATGGTGATGGTGATGATGATGATCACCCTCTTGTCTGAGAGATGCAGGCAGGCAAATGCAATTCTGTCCGACAACTCCAACTGAGGTTCATCCTATTTGATGAAGGAGTGAAGAAGTAAAGGAGTGAAAAAGTAAAGGAGTGAAGAAGTAAAGAGTGAAAAGTGAAAAAGTGAAGGAGTGAAAAGTGAACTAACGAGTGAATATATAGGTTTATATAGGAATGAATGAATGAATGAATGAATGAATGAATGAATGAATGAATGAATGATTAAATGGAAGGAATGAGCAAGCAAAAAAAAATTACAAATCACCAAATGAATGAATAAATAGACCAACCAACCGACCGACCGACCGACCGACCGACCGACCGACCGACCGACCGACCGACCGACCAACCAACCAACCAACCAACCAACCAACCAACCAACCATCCAACCATCCAAACAACCAACCGACCAACCAACCAACCATTCAACCAACCAACCAACCAACCAATAACTCATCATAGTCTGTATCTTTACAAGTTAGAAACTGAAAAATGGACTTGAGGTAGGCGTCCTTGATCCCTCGGATAAGTTGGGCCAACTGTGTGCCCCATGCTCCTACCGGGTTTCCAGGGTAGGCAGAAAGCGACATTGCCACCATTGCGAGATCCACTCCTCTACCTGGCGATACGTACGTACGCACATGCAAGCCACCACAGAAAGATAGCTAGCTAGTTAGTTAGTTAGTTTGAAAGACAAAACTAATCTAGATAAGCGTGGTATCAATTTCAATGTAGGATAGTGAATAAGTGATAGAGATGGACAGCCACGAAGTTTACAATTCGGTTGGTCGTTTGGTGGTTTCACTCCATCGTCAACTTCACGAGATATCTCATTCACTAATTGCGACGCGAGAATCGAACGAAACTGAGACAAGAGTATAAAGTCGCAGAAGGATGCCACGACCAGGGTGGAGAGCACACACACACATACATACATACATACATACATACATACATACACACACACACACACACACACACATACATACATACATACAGGAAATGAACAAACAGAACAAATCAAGAAAGACAAACTAACAAACCGACAAACAAATGAAATGAAAGAAAGAAATAACTAAAAAAAAACAAACAAACAAACAAGAAAAACAAATAACAATTTTGATCGGGTCCCAGATAATTAGCCCCCTTAACATCCACCCCCTCCGACAGCACCTCCAGAGCCCTCATCATCCTCAGGGTGAACACGCTGATGGCTGCCGAGCGCGTGTATTGCTGTTCGGCTGCTAACCTGCATTGTGTGGTGTGTTGTGGTGTGTGGGGAGTGTTGTGGTGCGTGTGGAGTGTTGTCGAGTGTGTGTGGAGTGTTGTGGTGTGAGTAGAGAGTAGAGTGTTGTGGTGTGTGTGGAGTGTTGTGGTGTGCTGGCTGTGTCATTGCCATTGGTGTGAGGCGTGTCGTTTTTAATCAATCAATCAATCAATCAATCAATCAATCAATCAATCAATCAATCAATCAATCAATCAATCAATCAATCAATCAACCAATCAACCAACCAATCAATCAACGAACTAACTGGTCAATGATTGGCAGGGACGGGGTATCGTGCCCCCACCTCCACCCACACATCTCAATTGCTCGCGTCCTATGCAGTCACGGATGAATGATTGAATGAATGAATGATGAAGAAATTAATGAAGAAATGAAAGATGGATAAATGTATGAATGAATGAATGAATGAATGAATGAATGAATGAATAATGAATGAATGAATGAATGAATGAATGAATGAATGAATGAATGAATGAATGAATGAATGAATGAATGAATGGTGAAACAAAGGGAAACGTGAACGGCGTTGGGAGAAAAACGAATAAATGGAAGAACTAATGGATTAGATGAAGAAATGAATGGATGAAAGAAAGGAACGAAGAAATGAATGGAATGGATGAATTAATTGAATGGGTGAATTGACGGATGAATGGATGGATGGATGGATGAACAAGCGAACGAATGAATGAGCAAAAACATTACTGAATAATGAGTTGACTGAGTAACAGAGTAGTTTCTACTACACAATATTAACCGTATTAACACAACCTTAAGGATGATTGATTTTAGAAATGGGTTTCAAACATATTTGAAAATGGAAAAATGAAAGATTTAATAGATGTAAATTATTAGATAAGTAAGTAGCTACAATACAGAAATAAAACAACAACACAGCAACAACAACAACACAGCAGCAACAACAACAATAACAACACAGCAACAGCAACAACAACAACAATAACAACATGCTAACAACACCACACAAGTAACAACACCCCAAAGGCATCAACAGCCGATTTTCAAACGATACGAATGACGACAAAGCAAAAACAACTAAGGAACAACAACAACAACAAACCTCAGTGGACTTTTAAACACCTGGCACGAATACCTCGGATTCAGTCCCCCTTCTTGTCCCCCACCGGCCTTCCCCAAATTAGCCCCCAAAATTCCTCCTGGATACGCTCCCGAACCGCTGGAAACCACCAAATTTTCCCCAGCAATCGTCGTTGTCGTCATCAGCCATTCCAAGCTCACCGTATCGACATACTGCTTTAAGGGGTTTGCCCCCTTCGGAGGGAAAAGTGACCGAACCCCGTAGAGAGGATGAACGATAAGGTATAGTGAATGCTGCTGCGATAGTTGCTGCTGCTGCTGCTGCGAGGGTGTTAAGGCTTGGGTGTGGCCCTGGCGATTCAAATGGTGAGGTGCGGTTGGAGAGGTGGGGAGGTGATGGGGGAACGGGGTGCCTGGGTGTTGTGGTGGCTGCGTGGGGTGGTAGTAGTGGTGATCTGGTGTTATTTTGGTGTAGGAGTTGGTGCGTGGTAGAGTCGGTGTCGCTTGCAGCTGCTGTGGCTGAGGTGGTTGGTGGAAGCTAGGGTCTGATTTCATCGGTGGATATTTTTAGTCAGGGAAACTTTATCATGTTTATCATCATTATCATCCCCCAAATCATCACATCATCATCCACATCATCATTATCATCATCCACATCATCATTATCGTCATGATAAAGGATATAATGAACCCATGTCCAGACTCTCTTCAGTGTTTCGTCGTCAGCAACAAGTTCAACGTTATCTATAATATTGCTCTGCATGTACGTGAAAATGTATGTATGCGTGTTTGTGTGAATGTATGTATGTATGTATGTATGTATGCATGCATGTATGTATGTATGCATGCATGCACGTATGTATGTATGCATGCATGCACGTATTCATGTATGCATGCATGCATGTATGTATGCATGTATGCATGCATGCATGTATGTATGCATGTATGTATTATTATTATTCGAAAATTTGTATAGCGCTAATTACAAACAAAATGTTTCTCAAAAGCACTGTCTAAAAAAACAGTTGAATTGCTACGATAAACCAAATCTTATAACCAAAACAAAAAAAATTTCAATAATTTCTTGAATGATTTTTCTGTCAGTTCGGGCTGTCTTAGATAACTTGGTAGACTATTCCAAACGGCTGGTCCACTTACTGAGAAACTTCTCTCCACCATTTTCAAGTTGGTTTGGAGCACACATAACAAGTTGCTATCATCAGACCTTAAGCAGACAGTTTTAAAAGACAGTTGTTACGATGCACGCATTTCTTTCAAATAAACTGGCGCCATTCCCTTCATACATTTGAACATGATTGTTGATATTTTGAACAAAATTCTTTTTTTGACCATCAACCAGTGCAGTTCTCTGAATACTGGGGTAACATGGTCAAACTTTTTTTCACCAACCACGATCTTAGCTGCCCGATTCTGAATTGACTGAAGCACTGATAACGATTTTTCAGGCAAACCATAAAATAGGCTGTTGCAGTAATCCAGTCTAGAATGAATAAACGAATGCACTAAACTTTGAATAACATCTTTGGTTAAGCTTTTGCGGATTATTGTTAATTTTCGCAGTTGCAGGGTTGCAGTACCAGATGTATGTATGTACGTATGCATGTGGTGGAAATGATAGTGACGGCATGATTCTCAGAAGTTGGATTCCATTTTCAAATTTTTTCGGCGCGGTGGTTTTAAACAAGTTAACGTTACCAGCAGTTCTTTTAAACTCCTTTTAAAAGTAAAAAAACCGTTTAGTGGGCAGATTTTCCGCAAGTCTGTTTAATCATAAATTAATATGCGAAACCGAACGAATTAGTTTGTCTGTCAGAACTTTTGTTTTAAAACTCATTTCTTAAACTTATTTACATTTTAATTTTTAAATTAAATAAATAAAATGTACGTAATCAATCAATCAATCTTCGTTTTGCGTCCAGAGACCCGGTTTCCCGAGGTAGGACGTTGTTCTCTTTGCCATCAACATCGACGCAAGATTTCGGTAGATTTGATGTGGTCCTTCAGACTAATTTGTTGCATCCATCGTAGCATTTTCATGTCGGTTCGTTAAAGTTGTTGTTCCAGTTTGGTTGTCATTGGCCATGTTTCTGCACCATATAACAATACTGGACATACGTCCAGATTTATAAAGTCTTGATCGTAGTGGTAGTGGGATGTCACGCCGCATCAATATAGAGGCAAGGAGATGCCATTTATTCCAGGCTGCACGTATGCGTGCTCGAACGGCAGCTTCAGCTGTACCAGTACATTCCAGAACATCCCCTAGATATTGAAACGATGTGACTTTCTCTACCTTAATGGCTTCAAAAACAGTGCTATTTCGAATTTGTTGTTGTGGATTGATGCAAGCAGGAAAAAAAAAATTGGACACTTTAGATAAAGTACCAATTATTTTTGAACAACGTTTGTGACACCACTGGTTACACTGCTGACACTTGATTGAATTGTTACCAACACCAGCTTTACAAACTGAACAGGGCCATCGTCCAGTAGCTGTGGATTGGATGGGTTCACCAGAGTTCATTGCTTTGGTTTTGCTGATGTTGACTTTGAATCCATGATCGGCGAGTCTGGTGTTCCAATCTTCAAACATCTGTGCTGCATTCTGCTCAGACGTGGCTGTTAAAACGATATCATCAGCATATACTAGATTCCAAATGTCACCAGTGCGTATCGGT